ATCCAGTTTTGCCAGCACCATTTGTTAAAAAGACTGTCTTTTCCCCATTTGATGGACTTTGGGCCCTTGTCGAAGATCAGGTGACCGTAGGTGTATGGATTTACATCTGGGTTCTCAATTCTGTTCCATTGGTCAATGTATCTGTCGTTGTACCACGTGTACTTTATTTTTAATGACTTAAAAAAAAATGATAACTATAGTGTGTGCTTGACTAGACAGGAAAAAACAACACTGTCATTATTCACATATATTAGTATTATTAGCACTAACATTAGCACTCATAAAAGCTCAACAAGATTCTAAGGTACAAGATCAATATACAAAAATGAACGGTTCTTACATAAGAGTAATGAGTAATAAAAAATTGGAAAAAGACATCATTTATCACAATAGCAAGATACATACTAAAAGAAGCCACCTACAAATAAATCTATTAAAAACTGTGCAAGATATTAATGGAGAAGAGTATCAATCTTCTGAAGAAGAAGAAGAAGGAGGAAGAGCCAGCCACTTGACCTCCAAAATATCAGGACTTACTCTAAAACTAGTAATTACAAAGAGTGGATCACTGGCCAGGAACTAAAAAATGGACTATTAGAACAAACCAGAAAACCTGGGAATAGACTCAAGCATACAGAGATATTTGATATCTATAACACAGAATATTATCAAAACATCCTAAAAAAAAAAAAAAAAAAACTGAAGAGAAGAAGCAAACGTGTTAGAAAAATGATCTAACTGGCAAAATTTATTAGGTCTAAAAACCACCAAGTGTTGGAAAACTTACGGAAAAACAGGAACTCAAACACTGCCGCTAAGAATATAAATCAGAACAGCTACCCAGAAGTGGCAATTCAGCATTTCTAAAATAAGTGATGATGTGCATACCCTTTGACCTAGAAATTCCACTCCTAGATGTTTACCTAGAGAAACACGTGACAAAAGGATACTTTTATTAGAGCATTGCCTATAATAATAAAAAATAAAAAACAACTTAATTATCTGTCATGGACTGAACCATGTCCCCCCAAAAAATATGCTGATGTCCTAACTAACCCCTGGTACCTGTGAATGTGACTTGTTTGGAAATAGGGTCTTTTGAAGATGTTATCAGTTATAACATAACCCAGAGTAAGGGGGGTCCTAGTCCAATAAAAGACACAGAGACGCACAGAGACAAGGGAGTTATGCTGCAGTTACAAGCCAAGGAACACTTGGGGCTACCAGAAGTCAAGAGAGACAAGAAAGGATCTTCCTGTAGAGCCTTCAGAGAAAATATGGCCCTGCCGACACCCTGAATTTGGACTCCTAGCCTCCAGAACTGTCAGACAGTAAGTTTCTGTTCTTATATGCCACTCAACTTGTGGTACTTTGTTATGGCAGCCCTAGGAAACCAATACAATATCCCTTAATGAGAAGAACGAATATAACATGGTTTATTCATAAAATAGAATACCATACAGCAGTTAATATGGATGACCTGCATGGATAAACAGAAAAAAAAAATACTATTGAGTGAAAAGAGTTAGTTAGAAAAGAATATGAATTGGATGCTGCCACTTACACAGAATTTTAAAACACAACACAACTATACCCTAGATCCAGGGACTAAAATATATCTGCCACACTGGCTCCAGGGGCTAAAGGTACAGAGTCTTTGGAAAAATAATTAAAAACCAGAAGATCAAGTCCATATAAGTGTAGAGTTGTGGGTTCTGAATTCAGCCTACATGTCCAGTACAGGTATCCTGAGCCAAGCAGTTAACTGAAAAACTTGCCTGAAATTGGTGAAACCCATAGGACATTAGCTGGGGCAGGCATGAAACTGCCCTCTAAGGACTATGTGGCAGTCCAACACAAACAAAACTTCCCTTGAAAACAATTTCCTTTGACAATGAGTTCAGTTCAAAATTAAAAGTATATGATATGAGGAAACCACCTACCAAGAGAGAATCAACAGCAATAAACAAGACAATAAACATCTTAGAGTCTTTCAGATATATGTTTTAAATGTTCAAACAGATAAATGGAGGCACAGGACTCTTAAGGCAAGAGAAGGATATTACGGAAGGAGAAAAAAAGCGAAGAGTCACATTTGAAAGAAAAAACTATAAAAGAGAAAAATGTAGTCTCTAGAGCAAAAATTCAATTGCTAAATTAAAATAATTTAGACTCAGTATAAGAGAAAAATAGACAATTGTAAGAAATATGAAGCTAAAGCACAAAGCAGCATATAGAAATAAAATATGAAAGGGAATTTAAGAGACCCTGGAGACAGAATGACAAATTCTAAAATATATCTTAGGGGAATTTCAGTGGAAAAAATTAAAGAGCTAGAAGAAAGGTATTATTATTAAACAAATAAAGTCAGAGTGTTTTCCAGAATTGATGACATGAGTCCTTAGTTTGAAAAATTATACCAAATTCTAAACATAAGTAAAAACACACATATATATAGATAAATGCTAAGTTATATTCAACAATGAAAGTGAAACAAGAGAGGTGTTTCAAGACATACAAAACTACAAATTACCTCTCATAACTAGAAATAATGTATCTGAAAAAAAGACTAAAGGATGCACTTCACAAGAAGAAAACTGAACTCAGAAGGAATGAGTGAGATATAAGAAGTAATGATAAACATAGAAATTGGTCAACAAATTACTAAATGTTAATAAGTATGGACTATAAAAATCGTAATAGTGGCACTTTTGTGGGATTAAAACAGGGTCAAGCTAAAATACAAGAGCAGCTCTCTTAACAAACCTCCATTTAACCAAATTACTGCCACTGGATAAACCTAAGCTCTCCATTCCCTCCATAAAATGTACTGCCTGTGGTACTGGTACTGCCTGTGGTACACTGAATGATTTGAGTTAGTAAGCTATTCTTAAGAAATTCTTCCCACTTTCAGAAGTCATGTTGTTGTTGTGTGCCATCAAGTCCATTCCAACTCATAGGGACCTTATAGGATACAGTAGGGTTTCCAAAGCTGTAATCTTTATGGAAGCAGATTGCCACAACTTTCTCCCATGGAGTGGCTGGTGGGTTTGAACCACCAACCTTTCGGTTAGCAGCCAAGCTCTTAACCCACTGCACCACCAGGGCTCCTTCTCAGAAGTCAGGAAGATACGCTTCTACATCATCTTCTAAAAAGTTTATAATCCGTTGGGAATCGATTTCAGAGTATGGTGTGAAGTGGTGGTCAAATTTCCTGTGTTTTTTTTTTTTTTAAATAAGCTACTCTTTAATATTATCATGCTTTTTTTTTTTTTATAAGCTGAGGTATAAGCTTACTATAAGTGAGTTGTAATTTTTTTCAGTCAATGAAATTAGTAAAAAAGGAATTTTTATCTGAAACATATGTCAAAAACTTTGAAAAGACCTGATAAAGTTAAAAAAAAAAATTGCCGACACATTTGGTGTAGATAAGACAATTATTAAAAAATTACTCAAAAAATAATAAAATTCTAGGATTTTGCATTTGATATTTTCATGAAAACCAGTGTTTTCATGTTTGCTAAGGAAAAATGATGTAGAACTCTAATCCACAGACTCAAACAAAACTAAGGGAGTAAAAAGTACTGTTGGCTCTACATCAAAATATTGGTGAACAAATAGATATTTCTATGTTTTAAGTTAAAATGTTAGAAATAAACAACATGACAAACACTGAACATAATCAGGAAGGGTATTCAAAATATACCAGAAAATTATATCCTTCTCTTGTACAAAATCAATCGGAACCTGAATAATAATGTAATTCAAGAAATATATGTATGATACAAATTGAGAAGATGAAGAAGGCTAAGGAGACAGAGCCATTTTTGTACAAAGACAGTCTGGAAAGAGTATAGTTGAGAAGTAGTTTGATTTTTATACTTACCATTTTTTTCCAACTGCTGGATTATGGAGCCAGGAGACGCAAAGATATTATCATTGGTCATTGGTTCTGTTTCTATGGTTTCTTCACTGGCATGATTCATAGGGTAACTGTAAGGTAAAAAAAATAGTTAATATTAAACCTCTGGGAAAAAAAATAATTTTACTATATCTCATCAAGTCTGAACTAATGTTAAATTATGCTTTGTGGAACAGAAGTACCAAAGAACAATTCTTTTTTTTTTTTTTTTTAATACCCATGACTCAAAAGAGATTGAAAAGAACCATGTTCTATTGATGCTCTTGACTTAGAATCTGGCATTTTTTAAGACTAAAAACACTGATCCTGTCATCTTATTAAAGTTGTCCTAGACAATTACTCAGATCTCTGGAATACTGTTACAAGCAGGAGTATCACTGAATACTACAAGATGGTTCAGGATTGATTTTCACTTAGAACGTTTCCAATTTTAAATTGGGACATGTTGAACCATGCTGTCCTGTATAAACACTTAAAAAAAAAAAAAAAAGTGAGTGTAAGATATGGCACACATACAAAAGAATGTATATATAGTATGAAAACTTTAAGAATAATAAAATTAACACATATTTGTCCACTATCATGCTTATGAAATAAAATACCACCCGTACCTTTGTCTTCCTGTATGGAACCTTCCCAACTAGGTGTCCTCTCTACCTCTTAGGGGGTAATCCTTCCGCAGATTTGCTGGGTACTTTAACTAATCTACGTACTCTTAAACAATTGATTTTTTACATGTTTTTAAACTTCATATAAATGAACTCACAGCGTTATATAGATATCATTGCACACTTTTTGATTATTTCTCTTGAATTCATTTGTATAAGTAAAATTTCATAAAGGCTTTCGTATACATTGCCAATCTGCCCTACAGAAAGATTCACCAATGCCCACTAGCATTATAAACAATTTATTTTCCCACATCCTCATCAACACTGCTTATTGCCCATCTTTTCTGATATTATTTCTTTTAATATTAATAAACTCTTTAAAACCTGAAAATTGAACACATGCATCTGGATAGGCGAAAAATAAAATCTCATTTTTTACTTCAATTTATTACTTGTGAGGTTAAATGTGTGATCATATGCTTACTGGCAATTTGTTCATTTTAAAAATTGGAGTGTTTATCTTTAATTGTTATTGTTGTTATTAGGTGCCGTCGAGTCGATTCTGAATCATAGTGACCCCACAGAACAGAGCAGAACTGCCCCATGGGGTTTCCAAGGAGCGGCTAGTGGATTCAAACTGCCAACCGTTTGGTTAACAGCCATAGCTCTAAACCACTGTGCCACCAGGGCTCCTGTCTTTCATTAATCAACTTAAAAAATGAGTTTTTCTGAAGAAAGAGATAGACAGCTCCACAATAGTGGTAAGAGACTTAAACACACCACTTTTGGTGAAGGACAGAAAATCCAGAAAGAGGTTCAACAAAGACACGGAACAGCTAAATGCTATAATCAACCAACTTGATCTCACAGACATATACCGAATACTCCGCCCAACAGCAGCCAGCATACTTTCTTTTCCAACGCACATGGAACATTCTCCAGAACAGACGACATATTAGGTCATAAAGCAAGCCTTAACAAAATCCAACACATCGAAATATTACAAAGCATCTTTTCTGACAATAAAGCCATAAAAGTAGAACTCAACAACAGAAAAAGGAAAAAAAATCAAACACATGGAAACTGAACAACA